AGTGTGGGAACACTAAATGGCACTGCCCCTTGAGAGCCTAGTGTGGGGACACTAAATGGCACTGCCCCTTGAGAGCTGCTGCTTCTCCAACTTACCTCTAGCACCTTACTCATCTTAGTCTTATAGACAGCAACTGTCCCCCTCCAAACAACCTCGGCATTGATTATAAGCTAAAGACTAAAGTCAACAAATCTCTAGTCAACTGATAGAAAACTGAGGAGAAAACTTGAAACAAGTGAAACACTGTGATGTACTTCAGTAATCCTAGCACTCGGGAGGTAGAGGCAAGAGGATCAATCATTTAAGGCCAGCCTAAGCTGGCAAGGATGAGGCTAACCTGGGATGCCCAAGAACCTATCTCAAATTAAAACAAAATATATGAAAAGATGGCTTTGACCTGAAAGTTGTCAAATGTATAGACTTCAAAGTGATTTATAGTTTGCTAAATCCTAGTAAAGGCAAGAGCCCAAACTAGCTATCTATGCCATAGCAAGATAGACAGGAATTCTCCTGTCACTTTACAAGGGCCATTTGAATCTGAGTTGCCAACTGAGGTTTTAGGGCCTGTGCAGCCTGTGTGCACGGCTGGCTGCCACTCACGGAAGAGATGCCAGTTTCAACTCTTTCATATTCCTCAACATGCACTGCTTTGTGTACAGTGAGTGCTCAGTGTTTTCCCAGCAACCTGCTTCTGGACCAGATGGCCAGTTACAAAACAAAGCATGTGACTGACTACATTTGGCAGAAGACACAATTAAGGTACAACTCTATGAATCTGCCCAACAGAATGAGCGCTGCACCTAGAAAAGTCAAGATGAGAAGCCTGTCTATAGCGTTTTGGGTGTGTAACAAACTGACTGGAGTAACAAAGCCCCTCTACAAAATTAAATGAAATGATTTGCAAGTATGCTCCAACACTGACAATTAATAGGAATGTTCTAAAAGCACACAGCAATCTGCTCTCAACTTGGAAAAAAAAAAAGTCTTCTTTTTTGTACTCAGAACTCCTATTAGTATCTGTCAACTCAATTTAGTTCTTGTTCTCATAGAGTGCATGCTTTAGAGACTGAGTAAGTGACCATGGAGCTCTCAGTGCCAGTATCACTGGCATCAAGGCTCAAGGAACATGGTGGACAAGGCAGAAAAAATGTAAGAGTCGGAGGATACAGCAATGAAAAATAAGGAAATCATGAAATTTGCAGGTAAATGGTGGGACCTGGAAAGGATCATCCTGAGTGAGTTGTCCCAGAAGCAAAACGATACACACGGTATATACTCACTCATATAAACATACAACATAGGATAAACCCACTAAAATCGACACATCTAAACAAACTAAGCAAAAGAGAGGACCCTAACTAAAATGCTCAATCCCCATCTTGAAAGGCAAAGAGGATGGGCATCAGAAGAAGAAGAAAACAGGAAACAACCTAGGAACTTGCTACAGAGGGCCTCTGAAAGCCAGAAGAAGAAAACAGGAAACAACCTAGGAACCTGCCACAGAGGGCCTCTGAAAGCCTCTGCCCTGAAGACTATCAAAGCAGATGCTGAGCCTGATGGACAACTGATGGGCAGAGTGAATGGAATTTTATGTAAGAAGTGGGAAATAGCAAGAGCTGGAGAGGACAGGAACTCCACAAGGAGAGCAACAGAACAAGAAAATTTGAACACAGGGAACTTCCCAGAGACTCATACTCCAACCAAGGACTATTCATGGAGATAACCTAAGACCCCTGCACAGATGTAGCCCATAGCAGTTCAGTTTCCAAGTGGGTTACATAGTAATGGGAAGAGGGACTGCCTCTGACATAATCTGATTGGCCTGCTCTTTGATCACCTCCCCCTGAGGGGGGAGCAGCCTTACCAGGCCACAGAAGATGACAATGCAGCCACTTCTGATGAGAACTGATAGTCTAAGATCAGAAAGGAGAGGAAGACCTCCCCTATTAGTAGACTTGGGGAGGGGCATGCATGCAGAAAGGGGAGGAAGGGTGGAATCGGGAGGGGAGGAGGGAAGGGCTTATGGGGGGGATACAAAATGAATAAAGTGTAATTAATAATAATAAAATATTAAAAAAAGAGTCAGAGGATAGGAAGGAGTGCTGTGAACGTCATCTTCTGGACATGACATGGCGATTACATGAACTCACAGCACCTACAGTTGAATGCACAAGATCAAGCCAGTCAACATTCCAACATGGATGGGGGAGGGACCCATTAGGCTCCACCCTTATATGAAGTTACTGACAACTGATGGCTGATTGATCGCCATTAATACGTTGCCCATGCTAATGGCCAGGCCCATACCTCTCCACATACAGGTAGCACTGTTACATTTAATAGATCATTAAAAAAGAAATAGAAGGGAAAGTAGTGAGGTGTTCTAAATGGAGTTGAGAGGGGATTGGATTGGACATGATAAACATACATTGTATACATATATGAAACTTAAATTTTAAAATATGTGATATATGCTTTTGTGTTATGTATACATACTTACATACATACTTAAATACATACAGTGAGAATACAAAATCTTTACATTAACCAAAGTTGAGGAGGGGTTGCATGGGCTGACCTCAAACTTGCTTTCCTTCAGATCTGCTTGCATCCACCTCCCAAATACTGAGATTACAGGAATGTACCACATGATACCAGTCTCCAAAGCTATTCAAAATGAAAATGTAAAGTAAAAGATCTTGTACAGTATCCTTAGCTACTCAATCACAGAAGTCGTAAACAGAAAGCATGCACTTTATGAGAACAAGAACTAAATTGAGTTGACAGATAATAATAGGAGTTCTGAGATCAAAAGAATCAAGTGCCAGCTGCAGAGACCAGAAAAGATAGCAGGCAGCCATGGTCCCAGCTTCTCCCCGTTCTACCCTGAGTCTACAGCACCACTTATCAGATGATGTCAGGAATTCTACTAAAATGAGATAAAGCTTTTCTTAACAGATTTAAATATAATATGAAAATGATCTTTGGCCAACAACATAATTCAGTTAAAATGAGTTTCAAGATTTTTTTGCTCAGGCTCTTCCAAGGGGACCAATAAAAACTGAAACAAAAAAAAAAGAGAAGGCAAGAACCAGAAAAATACTCACCGTATTGACTTCACAAACTTGAAACAAGGTTATTTTTATGAACTTATCCTTCTCCGACACAGAGGAAGACCAGTTTTGCTTAAAAACACTTGTATGAGGTACTTTCTTCCCAGACTTGTAAATCAGGAGCTGTTGCTCTAACTCATACTCTTCTGGCAAAGTGTACCTTGTACTGAAATGCATCTCTCTACAGGTATGGCATGTGCTGACTAGCAACAAAGGAAAGGCAGCCTTCATCAGACAATCACACTGCGAGCTGTCTGTCCGTATCCTACCACCTAAGGAGCACCTAAACAATGCTGCAGTTGTCTCCAGGTTCTCTAGCTCAGTTCTACTTGCCTTCCCAGAACCCAAACTTGCTGGGGATATTTACAAGTAATTTCCCCAATTTTAATGTTGAAAAAGTATCCTACATTTCTGGCAGCTAGACCCTTTAACTTCTCTCTTCAGGGTAGAGAATACCTAACTGTAATTTCTTTACAGCTCAATTGTGTTTGGGCAGAGGTCAAATAGGTAACATCTTGAACTAACAAAATTACAGATGCTAACATGATCCTGTAAGTTAGTTTGGAGCTAACAATACTATGCAATTCCTCCTCCTCCTACCTACATACGTAGAAGCAGGTAGGAAGATAAAGTCATCATTTTCCACGTATAAAGCATTTTTCCACTAGTAACCCAATAACATGTTTTAGGAAATATTTTTAAGCGCCTACTACAGTGGTTTGAATAAGAATATATTTGAAAACTTAAGCTATCAGGGAGTAGCACTACTTGAGAAGGATTAGAAGATGTGGCCTTTGTTGAAGGAAATATGTCACAGCAGATAGACTTTAAGGTTCAAAAGCCTAAGCCAGGCATTACGGCTCTCCCTTCCTGAGGATCTAATGTAAACTCTTGGCTTCTTCTCCAGCATGTCTGCCTGACTGCCACCATGCTCTCCACTGTAATGATAACGGTACTTCTAAAACTATAAGCAAGGCCCAATTTAATGCTTTCTTTTCTAAGAGTTGCCACATTCATAGTGTCTCTTCACTACAAAACAACAAGAACTAGAACACCTACCATACTAACAAGTGGTTATCTCCAAAGACTATGTTTTGGACTTATACTACACCTAGCTACAGGACGTAAGAGCTTTAAATCCAAAGTTGAATTACTATACCTCCTCATCAATGGCAAGAAGCTAAATACACTGATAGAATCCTTGCCATGACTGACTTGAGTATTCTAAATTTAAGAAAATATACAATGATTTAAGATAGTCTAGTTTCTTCTTTGCTAAAAAGCTGGCAAAATGCTTCTATTAATAAATGATGCATGAAGACAATTTTACAAAACATAAGGCTCAGTTTGTTTTACTGAGCTCTTATTTCTAAGCTGTCAAATACCATCTAGTGTATTTAACTGCTAAACACTTTCTCATTAGAACAATGTGATTCTCTTCACTTACCCACAAGCCACATACTGTCCGTTCTTTGATGCAGCAATGCTTAATCCACATAAACTGCCTTCATCAAGAAATCTGTTTATACACTTCCTTGAATTCACATCCCACACATAAACTTCTCCATTCACTGAAAGTAAAAGCCAAAGAAGGGCTCAGCTAATCTGGTTTTAAACTAAAAAGGAAGTGAACTTACCACTTTTATTGACTCTTTAATAGCACAAGGAACTAAACCCTATTTCCAAAAAACTAAAAACATTTTGATATATATACAAAAGTTCATCAGTCATTCAAAACAACAGCATTCTAGGGTTTAAAGTTAAAACAAAACAAAACAAAAACCATAAATTTGAATTAAATTTTAAGGAAAAGGTGCTATATTCCACTTACATAAATTACTGGAGCAAATACATGAAAAGGAAAAAAATACCAATAAGCATTTACAGTGCCTATTATATACAGCTTCACAATATAAATCAGCACTTTTTTAAAAAGATTTATTTCATTATTTATACAGTATTCTGCCTGCATGTGTGCCTGCAGGTCAGAAGACAGCACCAGATCTCCTTATAGATGGTTATGAGCCACCATGTGGTTGCTGGTAATTGAACGCAGTACCTTTGAAGGAACATCCAATGCTCTTAATCTCTGAGCTATCTCTCCAGCCCCCATAAGCAAACTTTTAATGATAATGATGGTAGAGAAAGTAAATTGATCCAGACCACAAAAAGTTTATAATTTTAACTAAAAAGTCTTGTACAGTTTGTTCCAAGTCATTTATATATTAAAGATATTAAAGTTAAGCAATGAACACATATTAATTTGGAGAATTAATGTGGGCAAGAAAAAAAGAAAATATTAAACACAGAGGCCACAAATGTCCATAATGAAAATGACCATCTAATTCCCAAAACTGATCAATACTTTTTCTTGTTCCAACAGCACTGTCTCATTCTATTATACTTATATCTTATATTCACATCAAAATGACTCCTCACACCCTCTCATCCCTTCCTTTTCTGTATACTGTTCCAAGGTTTGCCCTTGTACATACAGCCGCAAACTCCCAAAGAGAATTCAGTGAAACTCTTGTTTTAACTATCTTCTTGAAAAATGTTCCCATATTGAAGTAAGCATACATGTAACAAACACGTTTACGCTGCATATCAACGGTTAACCCTTTGCTGCTATTAGTTTTTTTTTTTTTGGGGGGGGGAGGGGGTTGTTTGTTTTTATTTTGTTTTCGTTTTTCTCTTTTGAGACAGGGTTTCTGTGTGTAGCTGTCCTGGGCTCACTTTGTAAACTAGGCTGGCCTCAAACTCAGAGATCTGCTTGTCTCTGCCTCAACAAGTACTAGGGTTACAGGTGTATGCCACCACGCCCAGCTTGTTATTACTTCTTAACTGATTTGGCAATGACAGAAAATGAATGCTAAATATATCTGATTTCTTACTAAAACAATAAATGGAAAACTATGCAGTTCTTTTTCTAAAATTTGAAACATAAATACAGATATACTTACCAGAAGAGGTATATATCCTTTTACTATCTGAAGAGAATGTGGATGCTGAAATTCTCCCATTAATCTTCATGCTACCAATCAGTTCTTTGGTCTAAAAGAGTAATTATTTACCAGATGTTAGAAGGCTATTCTCTATCTTCCAGAAAGTATTGGACTCAATTTTTTTTTTATTAGTTTTACGTGCACAGCTGTTTTGTCTGCATGGACATCTGTGCAAATTTGTACCTGTTGCCCACAGAAGCCAGAAGAGGGGAACAAATCCTTTGGAATTACAGTTACAGATGGCTGCAAACCAGTCTGTGGATACTAGGAACTGAACCCAGGTGCTCTGGAAGAGCAGCCAGTGCTCTGAACCACTGAGCCATCTCACCATTGCTGACTCTGTTTTATGTCATTGCCAAAAGTTTTCCATTAACTGTCCACAACTTCTCCCAAAGTTCTACCTGGGGTGTAGATTTGAAGGACAGCTGTCCTGGTGCAAGCCTTTAATCCCATTACTCTAGGGTCACTAATAAGTGGATCTCTCAGAGGTGAAGGCAAAAACAAAACAAAACCACACCGAATTAACGTTCAAGACTGCCCTTTACCCTAGCTTTACTACCTAATGGAAGAACAAGAAGCAACTAAATGTTTCACCTTCATTGAGAGCAAATGAGAAAACCCAGCAATGCCACTTATGAGCAAAAAGGATCCATCTGGGGAGACTTCAAATCTCTTCACTATTTTCTCTTTCAAACCTAAGAAGAGAAATAAAATAATCAAGATTTAATGACTTCTAAGAAGTCTACCCTCTAATAACAATTAAGTTCCCCCATCACCACAGAGAATCAGCACTCCAAACAGTAAACAAATCAACTCATTTTGCCAAACATAAGCAGTGATACTTTAACTAAAAGGACTGTTGTAGTTTGTTGTTGCACAGCTCATTAACAGAAGGAAAATTCACTGTCATTAGAAATGGCCAAACTGATTGCCACCTGTGAGGACTGGGAAAATAATCTTTAATTTTGTACTTTAAAAGCACAAACTCCTAACTTTCCAAGTGTATTTAAGAATTGATAAATTGATAAATTCTTGGTGCACGCCTGTAATCCCAGCACTTGTGAGGCAGAGGCAGGTGTATCTCTCTGAGCCAGCCTGGTCTACAAAGCAAGCGTAGGATAGGCAAGGCTACACAGAGAAACCCTGTCTCAAAAAAAAATTTTTTTTTGATTTGCTTCCTGTGATGGCATAAACATAACTGAGTCTGCTCACCCATTTAAAAAGACATATCCCTTCACACTGACCCTATCAGAATGCTAAGAGCCAACATTCATTTGTACATAGTAGGGGGCCGAGTGTTCAAGTCCAAGGCAGCCTTTAACTGAGTATGTAGCTAAGGATCTATGATATCCTGGATCTTTATGCCTCAAGTGCAGGAATTATAGGCATATACCTCCACACCCAGCTACATGCTTGATTTTTATACCATGCTAACAAACCACTTAGTCAAAAAACAAATTTTTAATTCAAGCTGCTAAGTGCAACTATTGATCAGACCGGAAGGACATTTTTTAAATTGTGGTAAAAAGCCTTTACATTACAAAAAAAGTGCTGGTTGAGGCTCCTTTGGACTATCTCTAACTTGTTAAGTTATAAGCTCTGACAGATCAATGGAACACAAAATCTAAATCAATTCTGCTTCCACTGTTCAAACAAATATTTATGCTAAATGGAGTTGGACTACAAAAGCTTACATAGCCTAGTCAGCAATTTCCCACCTTAACTGAAATATCCCAAATTTCTTGAGTTTATTGAAATAGTAGTTTCACAGGGCTAGGGATATAGATAGCTCAGTGGTAAAATATGTGCCTGATACAATCAAAGCTTTTGCTTCCTCCTTCTGTCATGACTTCTGAAACTAGAACCCAGCTCATCAGACTTGGGCAGCAAACAACACCTTCACTTGCTAAACAACCCCACAGAGCCTGCTTTGGGTTTTGTTGTTTTAAGAGTGTGAGTGTTTTGCCTATGCACATTAGTGCACCTTGTGTGTGCAGTACCCTAAAAGACCAGAAAAGAGAACTGGATCCTTTGGAACTGGGCTTAAAGGTGATTTTGAGCTGTGGATATGGAAACTACAAATATAGTAGCTATAAAAACAGTTCTCTGACTCATTACAAGTTGTTTTTGGCTGACCAGGAAATTCACCTAATGAAGCTGGAAATGCAGATTCAGATCTACAAAATCCAAACAACAATTTAAAGAGATTCCTTTCTGCTGGGATTTCACAAAGAACTAACTTGGAAAGAGTAATTAAAGGTGAGAGGAAACAGGAAAGAACAGACTAGAAATACTGAAGATAAACACAAATGTCTTTTTAGTTTGGTCTTATTCACACATTAACAGGAACACAGCCACACAAGTGCCATCAATAGGAAGGGAAACTGCCAGTGATGGAGGGCCTGTGCCAACATGTTGTCCCAAGATGTATGGTAAGCCCACCTACGTTACAATAGCTTTGGTTTTCCAAAGGGATTATGAAGGTGTCACGTATGTTTTTAGGTAGCATGAGCAGGACAATAGAGAGAAAAAGTGAGGACCCTGATGAAAACAGCTGATTTTTTTTTACCTAGTTCAAAAAACTTAAATATAATACATATGTAATACATTTAAATAAATTATATACTTGAAACACGTTTATTTCAAGTATAAACTAACATTTAAAATAAATAACACTAGAATTAAAGTATCAACACCCTATCTATCAGAGAAGTGAAACAATCTGTCCAAGGAGTAGATGCCAAGCCTTCTATATCCTTAGCTAATATCCATTTTACCACTTTAACTGCTAACGTTAAACAAGTATGGGGGGGGG